GGCGGCGGGTCCACGGACTCGGCACCGAGGCACCTGCACAGGAGGAAAGGGAGCGGGACGTTCACCGCCGGCAGCTGCGTGGTGGGCGTGTTCTGGGACTTCGCGGCGGCGCGGTACGCGGCGGGGCCCGAGCCGGTGTCCGGGTACTACGTCGCCGTCGTGGCCGACGCCGAGTTCGTGCTCCTGCTCGGGGACATGAGCCGCGGGTACGTGGAGCGGCTGCACGGCGGGATACCGATCGCCGGGTCACGGATGGCGCGGCGGCGGGAGCGGTTCGTCGGGTGCGGGTGCTGGTCCACGAGGGCGCGGTTCCTGGAGTCCGGCGCCGAGCACGACATCGTCGTCGCGCTGGACGGCGACGCGGAGGCGTGGGTGACCGTCGACGGCCGGAAGGTGGTGCAGCTCCGGCGGCTGCGGTGGAACTTCCGCGGCAGCCACACCCTCTTCCTCGACGGCGGCGCGCCGGTGGACATGACGTGGGACCTCCACGGCTGGCTCTTCCACGCGGCCGACCCCTCGCCGGCCTCCTCCTGCGCCGCCGTCTTCACGTTCCAGACGCGCGGCGCGTCGGAGACGAAGTTCTGGATAGAGGACGACGGCGACGGCGACGACGATCTGGAACAATCTCAGCCACCGGCTGCGCCGCGCGGCCCGAAACAGAAGCTGGGCGGCGGCGGCGGCGGCGGCGCTCCGTCGGGGCAGGGATTCTGCTTACTGATCCAAGGTTTCAGGGGCGCATCCAAGATCGCTTGATCTGTATAAATGCCATGAGAGATTCGCCATTCTTTTTCACTTCTTCTTCTTGCTTGCGTTGCTTGGGATTGTAGTATCAAAATTCGACAATGGGTTTGGTGCTAATTCTCGTTGATTAATCCGATGCATGACACGAGTGTGAAATGTAGGAGTAGAAGGGGAGGCTTGACATGTACAATTGGGGTGGTGTGTTTCGTTTTGGTTTGCTTCGTCGCCGTGCAGATTTGATATACATGACTGTAACTGTGTCCTAATTTGCAGAAAATACACCAAAGATTGCAACTTCTTACATGAAAGAAATGATTTGATTATATTCACTCTGTATGTGTTGGTGTTGCATCTGTCTGTGATTCAGATCAGGTGCAGTCATATCTCTCTGGACACGAGGAAACTGAATCAGCATAGATGAACTAGCAAAAATTGTGAAAAACTAATCATGGATTTGACAAGTTGAGTAGAGATAAGGATCAAAGCACTTTCTCCATAATGCTGCACGATTGTTGTCATTTTCGTTCTTGAGGAAACTACACACATGCATAGTCATATTTTTTCTTAAATCCATAGCTATCATTTTCACAGATGTTGATAGCTCATTTGGTAAGAGTACAGCTTATGCTATCTCGAAATTAAAAAAAAAACAACACCTACGTTGGACTCTTCAAATAGTATATTGTAGTAAAATCACCACCTGTTCATAACACGCAACAAATTCGCATTACAAAAGCAGGCTGCTGTTCTTAAAATTTGCCACGCACTTCTATCATTGCCGCTTGCAAAAGCTTAAAAATTAGACAAGTCCTTGTACTAAAATAGGCCGGCACAACTGAAGATTGTTCAAACATCATCCTGCCTGACGTTTTCTAGATCAGTGGAGAAGGCTTCAAATATATTGGAATTTACAAATGTTCTTTGCATAGGTAAGCAGATTTTTTTTTGAAAGATTAGTTGTGCAAGGTCTGACTTCTGACTAGGGGAATGTAGCCATAGTCCATAAGAACAGCTAGTACCTCTCGATGAGTCTTGGCATGTCTTGCTCACGACAGCTTTGCTACGTAATTGACCAGCTAATAATCCTAAACATGGCTGAGACTTTTCATCCAAACCTGCTTAGAAATGCTACGTTACTTGCCCTTCAGGTCAATATGTTAGGTTAGTGAGAACCAGCTCAAGTATTCGGCTATTTATGGTCTTCAATTTTTTCCTTTTGATGATTTGTAGAGTCGCCAATTACCATTAGCAGACGAATGGAAATGCAGAATTTTGGTGGATAAACTCTTCAAATGCAACCGCAAAAGAATACCTTCGCAGGATAAAGCTGTAACTCATCTTTGCGATATCCAAATAATCACAGAATGCACAGAAACTAACTAATAGAAATGCCTAACATTGTGCTTCAGTTGGTGATCAACAAACATACTAGTAATAATTCTTTGGAGGAAATTGTTGATATAATCCCTCCAAAAAGTTCTATCTTCAGAATTAGCCCTTGCACCCATTAATGGTACGTGTGTCCTAGGTATTTATATTAGTGATACATGCAGGAATAAATTCTAAAGTTGCAACCTTAGTGAGGACAATGACGATGTTGGGTCTCGTAAGCCAAACAGATAGAACAAAAATAGATGGTACGGTGCAGTACGTGCAGCAAATCCAGGAGATTAAGTACTGAGAAATAAGTAAATCAGGATCGCACGACTGATTAGGTACAGTGCAGTACACGCGACACATTCGGGAGAAAAGTACCGAGAGATAAGTAGTAATCAGGATGATGATTAGTGTCGAGGGCTACAACACATTAAAGAGAGTAATAACACATGAGTCGAGTACAGGACAGGATCAATCACATATCAACAGGAGGTACAATGGTGCAGGAGTGGAAATGAATTTTGAACTCAATGAAGAAAAGTTTCATCAACTATCATATGGAGAACATTGTCTTAAAAAGATTGTCAAAGCAAATTATTAGAGAATCCTCTTTGCCAGGCTACTTATCCCTTAGATTGTCATGATTAGTTCATTACAACACCGGCATCATGACGCCAAGTCTACATGGAATAGGATAGTAAGTGACAAAAAGGGAAGGAAGCTCATACCAGCTTTGAGCAGAAAAACCGTTGTTCAGCTGTAATCCCAGTATTACCAGATGCTTGTCTTAAGCAGTTAAACATGTACTCCCTCCGTCCAAAAATATAAGCATTTTTAGCATAGTGATAAGTCCAACATTTCCAACTTTAACTATTAATAGTAAAAAAAATAAAAAAGATCAATCATCTAAAATTGACGTTATTAGATTTATAATTAAACAAACTATCATAATATGTAACTTTTTTTATTTAAAACATCTTATTTTTATAAATATTGTTGATCAAAGTAGCATTTCGGAGACCGAGTTAGAATCCAAAAATGCTTATATTTTTGGGACGGATGGAGTAGGAAAATGGTAGTAAACATTATCAGGCATTGTATTAACCATAAACTGATGTGCGAAGAATCCATATGAATATATTGGAAAGAATCAGGCATCACAAAACACCAAGGAAAAATGGCAAGAAACAAGAAACTACACTGGAAAACTACAAACTGTCACCTACTTGATGTTTTTGAAAGCTATGGGGACAGTAAAGAACGGCACCCATACGAAAGAACAGAAAAGTATGTTATAATGTGTCCCACTTGATGCTTCCTCAAAGAAGCCTCTGCTCAGAAGAAGTGTACTGTATTGTGCTTCAAAGAATAGCTGATCATCCTCGTTGACAACATGCGCAGTCCCACTCAGTCACCTAATTACAAACGACTTCAGATGAATGAGACATTGATATCACTGTGAGTAGAATCATCTACCTTTTTAATGTCAAAAATGTTCTTGTGAGGTAACGGTTGATGATTTGTTGTAATATTAGGGTGCTGCAGGAATAAAAGGTCATGAGTTTGACATTGTATGCAAATAAAAACTGAACAATTATAATCTACATTCTAGAAATTGGATACTCCACCATGTGTTCATCCATATTGCTATTGGCATGTGGGGCAGGTTTGGTTTAAGGCATAAATTAGGCTTACCAATATTTGTCAATTTTAATAGTGTTTAGTGTCTATTTGGTTTGAAACCAAATTTTGGCATGCCTAAGAAAATAGGCCATTTCAATAGTGAACTTAGACTATTTTGGCTTCAATCCAAATACAACTTTACCTTACCAAAATTAGTCATGCCAAAACTTACTAAAATTTGGCATTGACAAAATTTGGTAAGGCCTATCTAGACCACAAACCAAACCAACCTGTGATTTGAAACCGTATTCACGAGGTTTTCAGGTTGACTGGAGATAAGGGGCATGCTATCTCCCGTTGTGCCCCTTGGAGTGCACCACGCCATGCAGAATTGCTCGACAATTGTGACACTATACCATGATCAAATATTCCTTGTGTGAAGTAAACAAAGGTTCCTGATATACAAGAATAAATTGTACTACTAATTTATTTAGGATGCACAAAACAGTGTTTTATTGATAACTGCAAGCAAGCAACCCTGATTTACTTGGGTGGACATGATGACCTTTCAAGCAAAAGGGCACTCTGAAGGTTGCAGGGGTATGTGGTTAAAGCATGACGTGGTTTCATTCCTAGTATAGGAAGTCAATTGATCCGCAGACCCACACGGCCCAACGGAAAGATGCATGAGATGAGTGGGTTGAATAAAAAAAGGTCAGTGTGGGACAGGATATCCATAATCTAAAATTTTACATACTTGTATGTCCTATTTCTCGAGGGGGATGATGAGGTATGACACTATGAATTTGACTGCTTAGAGCATCCGCAATAGTAAAGTAAGGTGTTATCTATAAAGCATGTACATTTCAGCAATAGACTAGATTAATAGTAAACCACTTCAATGGTATGTCTACATGGATATCTATAGCTCTTTAATCCATTGCCTTATTTTTCTCTATAGACTATCTCCAGGTTAGTAGATAGCTTTGCTCTCTCTCTTTATTTAATCTCTTCAAAGTAGAAAAATATGCTGACATGAATCTCTTATAGAGAGCCTATAGATAACCATTGCGGGTGCCCTTATGAATTGGGTTTCTCTTTTCTTCTCAAGAGTTCCCTTTGGCTTCCCACCCCTCCTTTTCTACTCCCTTCAAGAACATTGTGCTATACATCATTAACTACACTGAAATTCTCAGCATCATTCCCTTTGCTGAATGGAGAAGTCCGTAGAATCTGCTGATCTGCTCTACATCATCAATTTTTCAAGCTCGGTTTTCAAACATCTGTACCGCACCGTCCGAAATTTCACTTTTGGCAGCAATTGAATGGCCTTTTGGCAGATCCTATCATACTGCAAAACGAGTAGGGCAGAAACGACTACGGGCCGGGCCTGGCCGCCATCTCACTAATGGGCTGAGATGGAGGCCGTAGGCTTCTGATGGGCTGGGCCTCAGCTGCCGCCACGTGCGGCAGGCTTCAACCAGGAGGAGGTGGGGGCGAGTCGTCGTCAACGACGACGACGAGGACCACGCAGATGGACCCGTCGTGCCCGCCGTTCCCGCAGCCGGAGGCGCCACCGCTGCCGCTGCAGCTGCAGCTGCAGCCGGGTCTGCCCAGGCTGGAGCTGCCGACGCTGGACCTGGAGCGCGTCGGCGGCGAGGACCGGGCGGCGCTGGTGGCGGCCTGCCGGGATCTGGGCGCGTTCCGCGTGGTGAACCACGGCGTCCCCGGCGAGCTCCGGCGGCGGCTGCTGGAGCTGGGGAAGCAGCTGCTGGGTCGCGACACCTTCGAGCTGAAGAAGGCGCGGCCGGGCTACTTCTGGGGCACGGCTGCGCTGAAGTCGCTCCGCGTCAAGGAGGTCAACTGGCTGGAGGGACTCCATGTCGATCTCGTCCCCGGCTCGTCGTCGTCGTCGTCGCAGGTCGGCGATGGCGATGATGATGATGATGATGGCTGGATGCGGATCAGGGCGCTGATGGCGGAGTACGGCGACCACATGGCGCGCATCGCCCGCAAGCTGTTCGACGCCCTGGCCGCCGAGCTGGGCCTGGATCATCACCAGGCGGCGTCCTACCTCGCCGAGCGCCAGGGCTTCCTCCGCCTGTACCGCTACCCGCCCTGCCCTTCCTCCGCCTCCTGCCTCGGGATGGAGCCCCACACCGACAGCTCCGTGCTCTCCATCATCCTCGGCCAGGACCACGTCGGCGGCCTGCAGGTGATCCGCGACGGCGCGTGGCGCGACGTCGCCCCCGCGCCCGGCGAGCTCCTCGTCAACCTGGGCGACATGATGACGGCCATCAGCGGCGGCTCGTACCAGAGCGTGCGCCACAGGGTGCTCGCGAGCCGCCCCTCCACGGAGAGGGTGTCGTGCTGCTACTTCGCCTTCCCGCAGGAGGACGCCGTCGTCGAGGCCCCCAGCGGCATCGGCGGCGGCGTCTACAGGCCCTTCTCCTACAGGGAATTCCGCGAGCAGGTGCAGGCCGACATCAAGGCCGTCGGCACCAAGGTCGGCCTCAGCCGCTTCTATGCGACGGCTACCAGGTATACCAGGTAGTAACAAGGTAGAAGATGTGCTGCTGCATTGTGTAGGATATTGTAGTACAAGGTCCATGGTACCAATTGGTATTTGCAATGATTTTCTGGCTAATTGCTTGTCTGAATAAAAGGAGTATACATGGCATGATAATAAATTTTCTAGCCAACATTACATGTAAAGATAAAAGGGAGAAATGATTGAAATCAATACTCAATACTATATTTTAAGATCATCGCATCATTTTACATTAATCGGGAAAGCATAGCATGTAGCATTGATGGTGAGTAGTATCATTTAGCATAGTATTAGGAGCCTAAAATGTAATATACGATTCATAATTGTTTAGAATGTATCGTCAAAGTCGAATGACTGTTGGTAGATGATTAAAAGGTCTCCATGTGTTGTGGGGGTTAAGTGGATGTCAAACTTAACTGACAACATGACCAAACAATGTAACAAATGGTAAAGCTTATATCTGACAAAGAAACAAACTCAGAGATGTGAAACACAATCTCCCATGGTATGAACTGAAAGAAAAGGCCAAGCTTCAGACTGCTTAAGGAGAGTCAGATCAATAATAGAATGCATCAGATGATTATTGTGGGGGGCTACATATATTGAGTTCACCAGCTGATTGTGCAGTGCAGTGGGGTGCTTCTTCAGGGCTACCTGACTGTCGGTTCAGGATTGTATAGTAAATCCTATATTGCACTGCTATTCTCAGGAGTCAAAGTAAATTTCAAAGATCGAATGTTAATGGAACCACCTGCTAGTTACATGTCAGAACCTACCCCAGAACTATATATGGTGGAAACCCCAAATTTGGTGGAAACTAGCGTAAACCACAATAAAATGTCATCTAAATAAAAAAAAATCTCCTATGTAGATGAGGTGATTGTGGACAGCCGTGCAAAAAGATCTATTCGAAATTTGACTTTGCATTGCTGAAGGTACATACTCATTTAACATCCTTGAACATGCTGATAACACCAGTGAATTCTTTTGGGTTGTTGCTCGTAGATGCTATCATCATGCCTTTTCTTTGTGGCTCCTAATAACAACGGATTACGGATTAGTAGATCAAGTAGCAGCTCAATGCAATATAAATCACGTAATTGGAATCGACTTCAGCGCCTGTGGCAAATCCTGATCAATTTCACACAACTCAATAACCAACAGAAAGACTACCCGGACAATGTGACGTGTTCCAAGTTCAGTTTACAACCTAATTTAAGAGAACCAATAAAATGGAGGGACGAACCTGAATCATTCAAGACTAACTAGGCCTAAAATTGTTGGCCCCAGTTCCCTTCCTATACATGTTCCAGTCACGTTTGATCAGAATGGGCATTCAATGTGCACATGGAGTCAGACTCAACTATGAACAACTTAAACTACTTAACAGTTGTAATAACTCACGTCACCCGTCTCTCTCTACTTTTCTCATTGTATTAGAGTATCATACTACTGATCTTGCATCTTCAATACATACCGGCTCGAATCATGATGCCTGCAGCAACATAAGTACATAGCACTGCCAGCACACGGGTTCAGTTCCATCGAATGGACGCCTCTGGAGTCTGGAGAGTGGAGAGGGAGAGAAAAGCCAAGCTAGATCCGGAATTCGGGAGCACAAGTACGCATCGGCAGCGAAGCAGATGGACAAAGTTGGGCACGTACCTAGCTAATCCGCGCGAGATGTCTTCTGACAGTAAACTCGGTAACGGTGGTAATCATGCTATTATCATGAGGTGCAAGTGAAAAAACTGAACGAAAGTTTCTTAATTTTTGTTCGAATACTTTTCGAACTTGGTGGGATTACTTTGGTTTCATCGGCTTGCTTGATGCCGCGTAACTATTGTAAAATCACTTTGTTTTCAGTAAGAAAACCAGAAAAGACGACCATCAATCTATTTATTCCCCGGTTTGCTCGTCGCCGCTAGAGATGGATCGGTACTGAAAAGATAGTGATTTATAGTCATTGAAAGATATTGGGAGTATGATATTTTATACTATAAGAATATACTGAATTTTTACCGCTCAATTTATTTTTTGTTGGTTTACGGCTCTCAAAATGTGAACGGCATCATTCGGCCGCCCATTTCGGCCTACCGAAATTGCAGTCGCCATTTTGGCAAGCCTAATAACGCTGCCGCATGGATGCGGCAGGGGCCGGCAGACCGTGCACTCCTGCAGCGTGTCTTCACGCTCTCGACGAGGATGCTGGGCTGTGTTACTGTGGATCAGACGAGGTTGTCCGACAAAGCACGTGTCGCGGAACGTAACACGGTTGAACTGCACGGAGACTGAAAATGGGTGGACGCGGTGATGGATCATGGTCTCATGGATGTATGCATCGAGCATCGTACGTGAGTTTGCCAGACGGTTTCTGTAGGTATTTCATTTTGCATGCTAATCGAATCGATCCGTGACGCAGCCAGACAAAATGATTGCCAGTATGGAGCATACATACGTGTCCCTTTCGTCCCAACAAAAACTTAACATATGAGAAATCTCTCCTATTACAATAAATCTAGATAAGCCTTAATCTAGATAACTTCTCCTAGGTTGAGTTTTGTCTTCTGAAGGTTGAGTTTTTATTTTTTTTTATACAAAGGGAGTACCATAGAGCTAATAAAAAATGTTTAGGTAAAACAGTTGAAGAATGCCTGTAGTCCCAGCAAAAGTTGGTACCTACATGCCACTATAATTACGTTGTCAGTTGAAATGAATATTACACTCCTTGTCATAAGATTGAAGTATCTCTGGAGACTTTTATGGAAATTAAGGAAGTTGGTGAAAATAACTGAGGATGTTGCGATTGATTGAGATGAGGGGCGGTGAAGAAAATATTTTGTTTTTTAAAAAGAAAAATGAGTAATAGAAATAGTTTTATTTTGGAGCGGAGAAAGTAATCCCTTTATTTGCACAATAGCTTTTTACAGTATAGTATTATTCTTTAAGCATGATTTGTTTCATAATATATTATCAGTAATTATGAAATTGGCATTATATTGTATAAAAATACCTTTAAATACAAATCAAATGATATTGCAGGCATAAAACTGAACACATATATTGTTAGATCAATTATTAAGACATATTTCCTTCCTTTCCAAAATAAATAAACAAATCTTGTACGAGATGTGGCCTATTATGAAATGTGACATCTAATTAATTTGGGACAGGGAGTATAGTGTAAGATCAATTATGAATAATTTATTTTCTAAATGTTGTTTTTTTTCCTTCGAAAAACGAGAATGCCTTTATTTTAGAACAAAGAGAGTAAAGTTAGAAAAATGTCAATTCAAACCCTTACCATATGCCAAGCAATTACTTTCTTGCCCCTCAGTTTTCTTCCTTCTTCCTCCAGTAGTCCCGTCACAACTGAGCTCCCCATGAGAAAGAGAATTGCGTGCACCAGTACACAGCAAACTTGAAGGAAGGAAAAATCTATATGTGGTGAGCATTAAGGTAATACCAAAATTTCACTTCCATACCATTCTCAACCATTTCAAATATTGGTAATACCAAAATTTAGTAAGGTAGCAAACTAAACATATCACTACCAACACAACCTTAATTATCAACTTTTGGTAATTTTAAAACTTTGTACTCATAAAACTACTCACAACATTTGGTTAGATACTGAAATAAGCACTACTCACTTTCATCTTACCTTACTAAATTTTGATAATGCCGAAAGATTATAAGGTTTTTATAATAACTAGGAAGATAGCCCGCGCACATGCGCGGGCTTTAATATAATATCGTTGGAATTTTCGTTAAGAATATGTGCACGCGGGTGATTGTGTTTCTTGAAATATTCTTTGATTATATTCTAAACCTGTTTTTGTCAATAATTTATTTGGGATTGTTTTGACAGTGATTATGATTTTCTTCTAATTACCCTGTAACATATAAATTGTAAATTAGACTTGAAACCGTCTTGAATTTATGAGAATATATTGTATCGCAACAATGGAGTTTCTAAACTTTAAATACCATTTCTTTTCTTGTATAGTATTCCCTCTGTTTTTTAATTTATAACACCATGGACTTTTAAGATATCTTTGACTATTCGTGTTATTAAACACAAATTAATGTTATGAGAGAGTATATTTATGAAGAGTGCCATTTATAGATTGATTTATTCGGTTGGTATGGTTTGTTTGCACATATGTGGATTAATTTAGCTTTGAATATTTGTAAAGTAGTATATTTGATTTCATAATATATACTAAGATTTTTAGAAATTTCTAAGGTTGTTTGGATAGCATGCAAATGATATGGATATTTGAACTATTGAGATAAGTGTAAGTGCTTATTATTTTACATGTAAGAATATATAGTTGGATCCATACCACTACAAATATAACATTTTAGATAAATACCACTACTATTCACAATATCGGCTATGTACCACTGGAATTTGGGGAAATTGGACCAGTGCCACTCTATCACGTTTTCCTAAAAAAAATCTCTGTTATCCCCAACTGCATGTGGGACCTAACTGTCAGTTCCGTCTTCACCTCCCTCCCCTCTGTTCTCTCTCCCCACCACCATCGTTGACAACCACCGTTGCAGCCGCCATCATCGACCACCTCCGCGGCAGGAGAGGCCTCGAGAGCCACTACCGTTGCTACTGTCGTCTTCAACCCCATCCGTGGTGGGAGGACTCGGGACCCGCCACCACCATCCTCGATGCCAACCACGGCAGGAGGCTCGGGAGTCACAATCCTCAACCCAATCTGTGCGGGAGGGCTCGGAAGCTATTGCCGCCGTCATCATCGTCGTTGTCCTCATAGCAGTAGCGGGGATGGAGAAAGAGATGGGGGAAGAAAGAAGAGGGAGGATGGGGGAAGATGGACCTCATATGTGGGTCCCAAATCTAGGGGTCTGACGGAAAACGTGATGGAATGGCACTGTTCTTGTTTCTTCAAATTTTAATGGCACATAGCCAATATCGTAAACAGTAGTGGCATTTATCTAAAATGGCATATTTGTAGTGGCATGATCCATTTAACCCTAATAAATATATGGGTTTAAACTATTGATTTAATTGTAAAGCTAGACTACAACCATTCAAACTAAGTATAGCCAAGGAAAAATAGGGCCAAGTGCCCTAGCTAGATTACTAATTAAATATTTTCTATCATCAATCAGACCATCAACTGATCAACCTGCTTAGGGCCTCTAAATATAGGCTTAGGCTTACTAGTTTCGATTTTTAAGTTATATTTTTAGCTTATACACTAGTGGATTTAGAGTTATAAGTTTAACGGTAGAGTCATACATATTTCTTACATCAGCCAAAATTTTATTTTCCAACCTAGTTTTTTGATTTAATAGTATAAAGAGTGGCTTATGGCTTTAAAAGAGCAAAAAAAAATTGCTTGCTTGTTTAAGAGTGGCTTGTTTTTCTCTTCTAATTCGAAGATCTTTTATGGATTTTTGGTGTGCATATGTATGCATATAGATCATCCACAACTGTGTGGCTATCTAGCTAGCATAAAAATCTATGCATGATTGCTTGGACAGAGTTGGGCACGTACGGGAGGCAGGCATGCAGCAGTATGTACGGACTCATACATACAGGGGTGAATACGTACGGGAGGCAGGGTTTAAGGGATTTTTTTTTTAAGATTGCTCCGATGGTTGATAATAATAGGCCCGCCAATTTAAATGAAAATCAATGGTTAGATTTTTTTAATTGCCACGTGGCAGCTTGAGAGCGTTTTGAGGAGTGCCATGTAGCGTCTTGAGAGCGTTTCTAGAAAGTTTAATGGACTTTTAGTATATAATAATAGATAATAGATAGATAAGGTAATAAAGTAAACAAGTCTTAAGCCCTTGGAAACGGTGACGGTAAAAGCTAGGGCTCTCGTGCTGGCAACTTGGCAAGAACTCCTTATTTGTAGCATGAAAATGCTGTCCTTAGAGTGACAAGCAGAGAAGTGCACACCTATAAAGAGTGACAAGCAGAGAAGATATGGGGTCTATGGGGAGAGTAGACTCCACTCTAGCACCAATTAAGCCATATATCTACGCAACCCAACAAACACCCCTAGCTGATGGCAAGGATGAGGGAGAAGAACCACATTGTCATGCCTAGCCGACCTTGTGGTAACTCCACTATGGTCCCGACGTCAGTAGCTCTTGAGCATCCCCTATGCCCACAGCTACAGTTGACGATGGCAAAGGGCAGTGTAGGGGCAAGCTGTTGGTGAGATCAGTCGTGATCAACACTAACGACCATAAGGATGATCAAAGAACGACCAAACATGACTCGAGAGCTAATTCTAGGAAGAGAAGTATAAGCAATGATGGAAGGAAGAAGAGAACAGCAACATTAATGAACTAAAGTGGAACATACTTCCCTTCGGTTATGAATATTTGACACTTAGGACGGGACTCAGTTAAACTTAATTTATAAATTTTGATAATCAAAGTAAGTTTATAAAATCCAATAGATTTTTGATATTTTAAGACAGATCTACATTTTTTTTATTTTATAAACTAAGCATTTAAGAATTTGTGTAAGGCTTTAAGAAGGGCAGATGCATAAACCACTAATCATATTTGATGGCCAAAAATATATAAGATTTGAAGGTGGATTTTCATTCGAATGTTGAATAATTAGCAATCCTGATTTTCTAATGTACTAACTTTAAAAGTGGTATGTATCAAATATCAAATATTTACCCCCGGTTCGTGTGTGAATAGCTTTCATGCAAATTTCCTCCCCAATTCTATGCTCACCATCCATGCCGGCACCATAGTTAATGCACACTGTTACATGGATCTCATTGTGTGATGCCTTGCTATACTCCCTATAATAGTATACTTAAGTGAAATTCACTTAATGCACATTCATAGTGGTGTTTCCGTACATGCTAGTATTTGATTGATCTAACCATTACATGAGATCATCTCGATTACAATTAATTATTTTTTCACTATGCATGAGCAATCATTTCATTATTGCCAGATTGTGCGGAAAAGATTTTCTAATAAAGGCGTATTCTAAACAGCTAATCCTATCTTTCTATATAGTTGCACTACTGGAGAATGCATCTTTGATGGGTTGAGCAAAAACACAATAGTCCCGGTTCCAATAAGAACCGAGACTAAAAATACTCTTTAGTCCTGGTTTAAAAGTGCAAGGGGGACTTTATGATCTTTAGTCCCGATTGGTGTTATCAACTGGGACTAAAGATCATTTTTAGTCTCGGTTCAAAAAGTTGTCAGGCCCCCACTACCTTTAGTCTCGGTTGTTTATACCAACCAGGACAAAATACCTATCTTTAGTCCCGGTTGTATATACCAACCGGGACAAAATACCGGAGCTGCACATCTCGATCCCATCGTCCTTATCTCCTCCCTCACACACGCCGATACTAGTACTCCTCCACTCCACCTCCTAACTCCTCCTCCTCCCCTCCCCTCCTCCCTTCCCCTCTCGATCCGTTCGGCTGAGGCGGCGGCGGTGGCGGCGGGCAGCGAGTGCTAGCAGCGCACAAAGGGGGAGGCGGCGGGCGGCAGGCGGCAGCGGGCAGGAGGCGGCGAGCGGCGATAATGCTCTCCCCTCAGCCGGATCCTGCGGAGGAGAGGAGGAAGGTAGCGGCACACGAAGGGGGAGGCGGCAGGCGGTGGGCAGCGGCGGGCGGGAGGCGACCGAAGCTGGAGGCGGTGGGCGGTGGCAGGCGGCAGCGGGTGGGAGGCGGCCGAAGGGAGGCGGGAAGCGGCGGCGGTGCCCTCCCCTCCGCCGGATCCGGCGGAGGAGAGGAGGCAGGCGGTAGCACACAAAGGGAGAGGCGGCGGGCGGCGGCGGCGCCCTCCCCTCTGCCGGATCCGGTGGGAGGGGCGACGACAGGCGGCGGGCATCGGCGGCGGGCGGCGGTCCCCAGCAGTGAAGAATTTTTGTGAATTTGTTTAGATTTTTTTTGTGAATTTATGGTGTCAATAATCTGTGGATTTGTGATGTATCTGTGAATTTGTGATGTCAATTATACGTGAATTTGTGATGTCAATGTTCGATCTTTGTGATGTTGATCTTTGTTATGTTGGTGAGTTTGGCGTGAAATCAATATTCAAAGAACAATGAAAAAAAAGAGAAAAATAGGGACTATAAAGGGTAGTGCCGGCCACGTGATGGGCATTCCCGAATTCGTGGTCCCGGCCGGTTGCATAACCGGGATTACACGGGGTTACGAACTGTGGGTGAAGACCCTTTCTCCAGCAGTGTTGGTACCCACCAAGGGGCATTTACTCTTATAAAGCAAGACATGCAAGAAACCACATCATCAACAATTTTAAGTCATTAGATCATATTAGTACAAAGATAATAACCGTTGGATCAAGAAGCTACTTATTCATCCAATTCAATCATTTATTAATTATCCATTCACCTCTCTTTACTCCACCTCACAATCACACATAGCACTGTTACATATTTTGTGCATAACACCATGTTTTCCGAATACAACTCAAATTATTGTTTAATATGTGTCTTTTGTTTTATTGTGCATGATAAGATAACATATAACTATTTGGTATCGTTACCTGAATCTATTTTCAGAAAAGAAATTAAACTTGAGTGAAATAGAGAGATGCAAATTGTCTTACTATAACAATACCCATATTGCGCATGAAAATAATATTCATATATTATAACAATACGCAATTACTCTTGGAAAAATAAAGCATGAATTATATTTCAATAACATAAGACATATATAAATCTACATTATCATATATTTTGTATAAACATAGAGTTGCACCTAACCATTTAAAACTTTGACAATAAAACTATAAAACCCATGGCAAAGACGTGGGGAGCCAACTAGTGGGTGCATGGATTATTCGTACCATGCTTTTTGAAGTGTAATATTTTCTAAGATATCTTTTTCTAATATATTTGTTAGTTTATGATATTCAATTCATCCATATGAGTTATTTTTCTCTATCAATATTATCTATTCAATCATGCAGTTAGAAACACGTCTTTAGTCATGTAGCTACCTATATGCAGCCCCTTCGAATATGTCCTGAGATTATTTGTACCAAAGTAATCAGGTCCGGAGAAGTAACCGACAATAAAGTAAACATTCCTCGATCGTAAGGAGAAAAACTTTTCTTCAAGCACCCAAGTTGGTAATGTCCCCGTTTGCATAGTTGCCAGGGAGATGGAGACCAAAGGAGCTACTACCTCTGTCTTATAGCAAGTTTAGTTTTAGTTATTATGCATCTAGATGCATATTTAAAATTTTTTATTATATTTGATGATGGATGGAGTAGTGATTTCCAGCGGGTGATCGATCGAGAAATTAAAGTGGTAAAGGGCCGGGGCCTCGCTGCCTAAATTTTACATCACTAATAACTATCCTGTCGGTTTTCGGCAGATGATACAGTAGTACAGTACAGCACTATGATGCTTGTTAAGAGTAGCTACTAGCTAAGCAGCTAGCCACCACACTGTGCTCACGACGGTGCGGCACCAAGAAAGCCAGTGACGTCCCGACACACTGGAGAGTAGCGTACGTAGAGTGCGGCGAGTGTGTGGCCGATCTCCGCGCGATCGACGCGAACCGCCTCATTCTTCAATGCCCCAACCACATTTTGCGCCTCAGTTACTCCACTCCCTCTGCCCTCCCCACCACCATATAACGCCTCGCCAATGCTTCTCCAAATCTCCAACCAACCCACAAACGATCCATCCATCACTCGATCGTAACAACTTTGTAGTCACGCGCCATGCAGCCGACGTGGCTCGCCACGATGCCGGCAGCGTCGTCGCTGGTCGTCGGCGTCGCGTTCACGGCCGCCGTGGCCGTGGCCGTGGCCGCCGCCGTGGCGAGGCGCGCCTGGAGGCACAGGGGCCTCCGGTTGCCGCCCGGGCCGCCGGGTTGGCCCGTCGTCGGCAACCTCCTGCAGGTGGTGTTCGCCGGGAAGCCGTTCATCCACTACATCCGTGACCTGCGGCGGGAGTACGGGCCCATCGTGAAGCTGCAGATGGGGGTGCGCACGCTGGTCGTCATCAGCAGCGCCGAGCTCGTGCACGAGGCGCTCGTCGAGAAGGGCCGGGAGTTCGCGACCAGGCCGGCGGAGAGCCCCATCCGGAGCATCTTCTCCAGCGGCAAGTTCACCGTCAACTCGGCGGTGTACGGGCCCGAGTGGAGGTCGCTGCGGCGGAACATGGTGTCCGGGATGCTGAGCGCCGCGCGGCTCAGGGAGTTCCGCCCCGCGAGGCTGCGCGCCATGGAGCGGTTCGTGGCGCGGGTGCGCGCCGAGGCCGCGGCGTCGCGCGACGGGGCGTCCGTGTGGGTGCTCCGCAACGTGCGGTTCGCCATGTTCTGCGTCCTCCTCGACATGACGTTCGGCCTGCTCGACCTCGACGAGGAGCTCGTCGTGCGCGTCGACGCCGTCATGAAGCGCGTGGTGCTCGCCGTGGCGGCGCGCATCGACGACTACCTCCCGTTCCTCCGCCCCTTCCTGTGGCGGCAGCACCGCCAGGCGGTCGCGCTCCGCCGCGAGCAGATCGACACGGTGCTCCCGCTCATCAACCGGCGCCGCGCCATCGTCCGCGGCATGCGGGCCGGCTCGCCGCCCGACCCCGCCGTCGCGGCGCCGTACTCGTACCTCGACTCCCTGCTCGACCTCCGCGTCGAGGGCCGCGACGCCGTGCCCACCGACGAGGAGCTGGTCACGCTCTGCGCGGAGATGATCAACGGCGGGACCGACACCACGGCCACCGCCATCGAGTGGGCCATGGCGCGCGTCATGGACAACCCGTCCATCCAGGCCAGGCTCCACGGCGAGATCATGCAGCGCGTCGGCGACGCCCGGCCGGTGGACGACAGGGACACCGAAGGCATGCCGTACCTGAAGGCCTTCGTGAAGGAGCTCCTCCGCAAGCACCCGCCGACGTACTTCGCGCTGAGCCACGCCGCCGTGGAGCCCGGGAGCAAGCTCGCCGGCTACGACGTCCCCGTCGACGCGAACCTGGACATCTTCCTCCCGACCATCTCCGAGGACCCCAAGCTGTGGGAGCGGCCGACGGAGTTCGACCCGGACAGGTTCCTCGCCGGCGGCGAGACGGCGGACATCACCGGGTCGGCGGGCGTCCGGATGATCCCGTTCAGCGCCGGGCGGCGGATCTGCCCCGGGGTGGGCATGGGCACGGCGCACATCGCGCTCATGGTGGCGCGGATGGTGCAGGCGTTCGAGTGGCGCGCCCACCCGTCGCAGCCGCCGCTCGACTTCGAGGACAAGGTGGAGTTCACCGTGGTGATGAAGCGGCCGCTGCTCGCCATGGTCACACCTCGGAAGCTCTCCTTCTGACGCGTGCATGCATGCACGCACATACAACGTGGCAGAGCACGTAAGACACTGAGCCGTGGGGCCTAGCTCGCTCTCCTGATGGATTGTCTATTAGGTCAGCACGTGAGATATAATACTACTACTCGTAGCTACAAATTATTGGAAGTTTGCTATTTCGAGTCATTGTTTTAAGTGAGGTATTTCCCGGTGGAAGGCTTATACTTACGTACGCAGTTATACTTTCCCTAATAGCGAGTACTTATAATGTATAAGTAACACTTCTGCTCAAGATTAATGCACATGTTCTTAGTATATATGCATATTATTATTAGAAAAAGTAGGAATTACCCCTTGAACCATAAAACCGGACATTTTTCACCCCTAAATATATATACCGGACAAATTACCCCCCTCGAACCAATTCAGAGCGGTTTTGTCCAATGTGGCACACACGTGGCAATCCAGTCAGCGTTTTTTTAATAAAAAATTATGGGACCCACCTGCCATACTCTTCTCCCCCCTCTCTCTATTCTCTCTCTCTCTCGCTCTTTTCTCTCTCGCCGCTCACGTAGCGCGCACGCGAGGACGGTCGGCGAGGGCTGTTGGCGACGGAGGAGGCAGTGGCGGCGGCGAGGCGAGGCGGCGGCGGAGGCAGCGAGCGCCGGGAGGCGAGCGGCGACAGAGTAGGCGAGCGCCGGCGGGGTGCGGCGGAGGAGGCAGCGGCGGCAGTGAGGCAAGGCGGCGGCGGAGGCAGTGAGCACGGGGAGGCGAGCGGCGGCGGGAGCTCGCGCTGCTCGAGACGAGGCGAGGCGGCGGCGGAGGAGGAGGCGAGCGGCGGCGGGGTGCGGCGGAGGAGGCAGCGGCGAAGGAGGAGGCGAGCGCCGGCGGGGTGCGGCGGAGGAGGCAGCGGCGGCGGCGAGGCGAGGCGGCGGCGGAGGCAGCGAG